TTTGTGTACGCCGTAATACCTTAATATGCACCAATGCGTGCTGAGTGCGTTTAATCGAATTCGCTATTAGTCGCGGCAGCACGAACGACGTGCCGCGCCGAATCTCGTTATACTTACAATTAGCGTTGGCCGTTCGGCGCTGACCACATGCTCGTGTTCGATCGTCTCGTCCAAGTCGATCCATTATCGTTACCGTTTTATTATCGTAATATGTTTCGTGATTTTTATGTATTTCCCGGTTATGTAACCTCTCGTTCTTTAATCGACGATTAGTTCGACTGGTCCATATTCTTCCGTTTTTGTAAATAGCGACGAGAGATTATAACGATTTGTTGTGTTTACAAATTTGTTTTGATTTCGCATTTTGTCTCCTGTATTTTTCCCGCTCCTCTTTCTCCATTTATAATTAATTTAACTTGATTAATTTAAGTTGAATAGATATTGATCGGAATATCGTGCATTTATAATAGTATCGATGCAGGTTTTTAAACGTTAATTGGGTGTGAGATTATATGTAGTGCTTACGAGAAATAAACCAAAACGAATATGTTGCGATAATATTAGAACCGCGGCCGTACATTTTTTTTTATCTATCTGATAGTTTTTCTTTTACAGTTTATTTAAATTTGTACGCAGAGCTTTAGATTTTTGTGACTTTTCATAAATAATCATACTTACTTAACTACAAGTAATTAATTTTACTTTTATGGTGAGAACCCTCCCTCGTATAGAATGCCAAATTTACCTTGAACCGTGATTGGGTTAATTTAAATCCGCGGTTCTAGTGTTAAACATAATTAGGCAACATGATTTGATATGCATAATGATGATCGATTTCTAGCAACTACTGAATTACTTGTGTTTTTAATTTCTCATGCTTCCTTCATTCATTTCGTTTATGATAATTAAGTTTAAAATCCTGTAATTTTCATCGCGCGTGTCGCATTTCGATTACGTGCATTTCATCCATGCTAAATCCAACGACGAATATCCCACTATGAAAGTACCTAAGCAGCAACGGTCTTAAATGCGTAATTAATGTATTCTATTCGCGTTCTCTACCGCTATCATGCGGTAAATGAGAGAATTTATAGTAAGCGTGATTCTCTCGAGCGACATGGCGCGTATTTCAGCATATGTTGGATGTGCGTGACGAAAGAATCGAAAGGAAACGCTACCGAGAATTAAGCTATACGTAATTTCGGCTATGCTTTCTTGCCACGTAGCGATTTTTTACGCGGTGATTAATGAAGCATCGATGTGATGAAGCTCCGTGAAGGAATCAGATCTTGAACGGAGATCTTATTTCTATAGGTACTTGCAGATTTTGTTCGCAGATCGTTAAGGAATCGTAGATGTCATCGTTTTACAAATTTTACAAATTCTTTAGAAAAAAGATTTTTATAGATTTTTCCCTGCTGGATCTTTTTGTGATTTCTCTTTCTGTAGATCTATACGACTTTATGAATTATTAATCTTAATTTATGAACAAATTATTGATTCTTCGCAACTCTTGATTTTATCTAAATATTTTGCTTTATAAAAAAAAGCTGATATTTTTCAAGATCATGAATCTTTTTCTTTAACGTTCATGAATTCGTGACTTTTCTCATTCATAAAGTTTGAAACTTACAATTCAATTCTCATTCAATATGTCTATTTCCGGAAAATACGTAGATCTTGTGATATTTTTTACAATGTAAAAATTTACGTCACGTGTTTTTCAAATTATTCTTTTCAACGGGCATCTCTGTTGCTTCAATCCGATGTTTTCGGATTATGAATGGTCTAAAAAAAAATGAATTATTAATCGCTTCACGCTGAGAGGTAAACATGCGTAAGGAAGTGTGGAAGTATCGATAGAAATAAGATATTTGTCCCGCTATTAGCAATAGTTGTCGATTACTTACGTCAGTGTCTGATTATACAATATAATATACATCATGTGTGTGCGGGTGTGTATGCGTATATCTCGCGATGTGTCGATTTTAATCGATAAACCTCGCGATGCTAGAATGCGTAAAGGGGGTCATACAAAATAATTTCTCCTCTCTCTGACTCACTTGTGCCTTGCCCTCGATCATCCTTCGCTGTTCTCATCCAGGTATAATCCCTCTTTTCTAAATAATCGTATTTGATGTTCGATGTCCTTTCTACGAAATAAGAAACTACCAATTAAGCGATTGATACATTAAGGAAGCGTTACTTATTCACTCCGTTTTACCATTTACGGCATTAGCTCATAATCGATAAAAGTATGTTTCAGTAATATATCGTCCCAAACGATTTAGACATTCTAAGCCATCTTAAGACATCTCAAGACAGCTATTAACTAATAATTAAACTAATTGCAAGGCATTCGGATTACAGACGATCGAAAATCTCGCTCTCGAAACGCACGTTTCAGGCATTTTAGACGATCTAATATATATATATAAAATATTTGGAATTTATAATTTTCCAGTTACAGCTTTTTCTCCGTAAACCGAAATAAAATACGTATTTAACGCGTATTCGTAAAATCTGCTTTTTGGAGTTACGGTATTATCTTCCATAAAGTTAAATATGGAAATTTAAATGCCATGGAAGGCTAAATCGGTGAGATTTGAGAGCAGATTGACACTAATAAGAGAGATCCGATGCTTTACGACTCTCGCAATTGTTATATGTATAAAGTATACTGCTCGAACTCGAGAGCGCGTTTGTTACGTATTATATGCTAATCAGGAATCACAGCGGATCGTGGAAGGTTACTGCTGTGACAGGTGATGTCCTCGTTCGTAATGTAGGAAATAGGCGGGTATTTGCGGAAGGTCCCGATAACTAGAATATACTGAGAGTTAAAAAAAAAGTCTTCGCGCGTTATCGATTACGTTCACAGGAGCATAAGACGGAATATACGTTACACGCGGCGGGTGTTTAAAATACATCTTTTGTTGCGATTAACTACGGCGTTGTTAGTACTCGATTTGAATATTGTGGTGCAATAAAATTCATGCTCTTAGTCGAGGAATCTTTTATCCGCGCCGCGTTGATTTCACAGCGAGATTATGGATGTCTCCGAACTTGCTTTACGCGATTTATGAATTATGTGAGAGTCAAGGGGAGGTCAGTTGCGACGCAAATAACTGAAAAATGCTTGCAAATGAATGCGGAGAAATTTCGAACGGAGGATATTTCGTGGCACACACAATGGTTTGGACCGCTTCCATCCTGAAATGCGCTGCCGCTCGAAATACGACTATTTGCACTCTTTAGAACAACTGTCGAAGAGAACCTTTGTAGTTATACGGAAATAATCGTGCGATTAATTATCGCTATACGTTACGAGGAATTAATATGAGTTTGCTCGTATGACCTTTTGGGTTTGCTAGTCGTATTTTCTAAGAGGCGCGCACTGGATGTCAACAAGCACGATCGATGTCAGCGGTTTTAAGACTATTTGTAAGCCTGGATGTGTATTTTTTAGAGAACAAAGTTAGAAATATTATTACCCGCTATGCGAATATCGATACCGTAACGCCCATTCTTGTATCCGTACGATATGATCCATAAGTTATAATAACGATATTCTATAAATGGCTGTACTATTGTAAAATCAAAGATATAGCGTACAATATATACATAAAATTTAGTGTGTAGGAGGCATAAGCTGTCGAAAGTGATATGTATTTGTTCTTTCCTCCTTTCTTTCGTAAAAACGTTAGTTTTTGTTTAAGGTGATATCGATAGAATATAACTATATCGAGTAACAGGTTTTACTAAATAGTATTCTTTTTATTTATTTGATATTTGAATATTTTTTTTTATAAAATATGATTACATCATTATTTTGTCAACGTCAGATGAGATAAATACAATTAAATTGAAAAACTTTTAAAGACTAAGGCCCAGTTCCATAACTGGCGGTTAATTCATAACCAAGGTTCAACTTATTCATTGACTCTTTCCAATTTCAGAATTGGAAAAAGATGATAAACAAGTTGAACGTCAGTTAAGAGTTAAGAATGAAACTGGGTCTAAAAATATCAGGAAAATAGAAGGGCAAATTTAAAACCTCGACATATGTAATAATCGTTTAAAGATGTTACATTCTTAGACATTGCTATGAAATATAAATCTAATTATAGTAGAGGAAAGCCCTCTATTATGAGATAGGCGCCTAATATGAGATAGCGGCATTTCTGCCAAACTAATAAACGCTATCTATTGGTTCCACTATGAATTTATTGCTCTTGGATTGAAAACTATTTAGTAAAAATTTCATTATTAGATCATGCCTGTAGTCATTGTAAAAAAAGATTTTAGAATTTGGATATCTTCTTTGAGATGAGCTTTTAAATCTTATTTATTATTTAATAAATAAATATTTGGCAATAAATTCTTCATGTAGTGATAGAGTAAGGTCGTACTAATAGAAAAATATGTTGAATTGTTTAATTACAGAAGTTAGATTTGATGATCATAAAACCATAAGGCGTGGAAATCGTAATATGAGATACCCACGCACGCTGGCTGTGTTTGCATTTTAGAAACATGAAATAAAATTTTTTAATTGCAATACTGATATATTTTGCGTTTTACTATCGATTTCTCGGGGCATCTCATATTAGGAGCACAATTTTTTGACCTTGTAGTTTGCTCACTTTTTACATTTCTTTAATTAAAAAAAAGAATGGAATTTGAATTAAATTTTATATAACGTTATCTTAAAGCTTATTAAATTCCCTTCAAAATGACCTATTATTTTTTTAAATTCTACATAGACTTCTAGCATTTATCCAAAATGAACACGGTATCTCATAATATAGGGGCCTTTCCTCTAATAATACATTATTTTACATAATGATTGAATTTTATTAGAATGATTAAAATTTATTGTTTTTAATCTTGCGTCACGTATGGTCTAAAAATAATTTAAAAATAATCTAAAAATAATCTAAAAATGATCTAAAAATAATCTAAAAATATACACATTTTATAAATAATTAAAAAAATTTTCAAATAGCTGATGGTGGTTTTTGTACGTATGCTATTAGCAGGTAATATGGTAATATTAAGTATTCTTGGCTGTTTTTGCTTTTAAGCGGAATCAGAGCATTATGGATCATGATTTCGTTTAGCAAGTTGTCTATAAATTCACCTTTCATATCATCGGGGATCCGTTTGATGAAAGGATTAACAGCGTACACGTGGTCTGCAAAAATACAAATATGATTTTACTTTATATAAACAAAGTGACAAACATTCTTATTTAGTTGCGACGATTAATTTTTATTACAATGCTTTAATTTATTCTTATACGTGTAGACAGATAATAATTTGTCTTGTTATTTAATATCTTACTTTTGAGGCTTTGTTTGCTATAGTGATAACTTTTCTCCCTTTTGCTGCAGTGCAGAATTTCAAAACCGACGTCCCCGAGCATTTTTCGCAAACTCGCTCTGATATCTTTGCACATTCTTCGTTGGAAATACGGCACGTAACGACGTGCATCCTTAAAGAAGAGGATACAGGCATTTGAATTTAATGTTAACATTATCGTTAAATGTGTTCTATTTATTTTAATTATTTATGCCTGGAGATAAGATTGGTATCGTGGACACTGCTTGAGATGTAGGTATGCCTCGAATCCAGAATGATATCCAATAAACATCATAAGCGCTTTTCCATTTGGTCGCAGTAACTTGTAAATATTCTCTAAAGCGCGCCTGAAAATTTAGCAACTTAATTTAAAAAATCAAGATATTTTCTTAATGTTGATTAGTACTCATTAATACAACATAGATAAATATTCTCGCATAATTTTCTTCTAATAATACAAAATTAATTAAAGAAATTGTTTTATTTACAAAAGCTTTTTTTTTTTAAATGTTACCCAAGAAAGTAACTAAAATACCATATATCGTTACACCAATGCAGACAATAGAAAGACACGACATTGTCATATTGCTCGATTTGGTCACTTGGCAATTCCGATGTTTCGATGTCCAGAATATCGAAGGACAATCGTTTTTCGTCACTATATTTCTGATTGGCGTAATTCACCATTGTTTCGGATACATCTACGCCTACGAGATGATTCTTTGTTAAAAGAAACTGCATACCGCCAAATTTTCATTTACTTACCTACTACCTCCGCATCGTGTGGCAAGGTCGGAAGTAACAGCTCCTTAGTAATGTTACCTGGGCCAGAACCGATATCCAAACATTTTCCACGCATGTTTGATAGTTCACAATTAAATTCATCTATGATGTCCTGAACGTCACGATGTTGCATGTTACTTCCGCTGTCAACATATTCTTCGGGCGTCTCCATGATTTGCGATGTAATCTTCAATTGGTACACCCTCTGTTAAACGTTATAGCGTTCCAACGTTAAAACGTACTGAGTACTTTTGTATTTGTACGATTCTTATATAAACAATCTGGTATCACACACTGGTTCAACCATGTTTAGGATCGTGACCTTCAGTTATAAGAAATCGACATGAGAAAGAGAGAGAGAGATTACACTGTTTACAAGTGATGTCAAGAACATTTGTCTCTCTCAATTCAAAACACACGAAGAAACAGAATATGTGATTATTATGTATAAGGCATTAAAGTCTTTTAGATTTTATTATAAGTTTTCATTAAAAATTATAGAATGAGAAATCTTTGAAATCTTAAAATACTTTAAATTTTATATACATAAAGAATTCTAACAAAGATGTATAAACTTTCTTGACACTTTTAAAAAGTGTCCTAATTATATAAAACACATAAAAATTTTTTAAAAGTTACAAAATTATTCACAAATTTAGAAAAATTTTTTTTAATTCTAAGAAAAACTTTCACCAAGTGTGACATTATATTATTTACAAATCGATGTTAGAAACTTTTGTTTACATCGATTCGTAAGCATATAAAAAAAAAGGAAATGTAATTATTATATACGCATAAGCACATACAACTATACTAAAGCTAATATTTGATCTTACGACCGAGTCCTCTTCGTGTTAGAAGTAATTCAAGGCTGATATATGCGATAGCTCACAATACTGGGTCCGCTCCTCTACTGGTGACTTTTTAACTTCGTCTTTGGTATTTATATTCGGCGACTCGTACAAATGACTTGCTCTTCCACCGTTCTCCCATTTTCTCCCATTCTCGTCTCCCTACCAACCTATCCTATTCTTTGTCGTCTACTGTGCCTACCCCAACATCCAAATTCTTTTTGGGGCCACGCTACTATTATTATTTCACTTAAAGGAAATTGAATTATCTAAATGGCCGGATACACACAGATTGTATACACAGACTGTGTGTATCCGGTCATTTAGTCGTGGTCTACTGCGTTGCATAGGTCACACTTGATATTAGGTAATATTAATAAATGGATGCTAGAAAGGGAATCAGGATGCACTGAAAAAAATAACTTATTAAAAATAGAAGAAGAAAATTGCATTAAATAATATAAGAAAAAAGGCACAAATAATTTATAAAATTAAAAATAAATATAGGGCTACGAGCCAAGCTAGATCTTAATGCTGTGCTAATTAAAAAAACAAAAGTTTATTACAACAAACGTTTCGAGATATGTAAAACGTGTAAAAATAAATGCTCCATTATTCGGAAAAGAACTTGACATTGTAAAAACATTACGCCACTTGGTGGCCACCGTTTAATGGTAACCGTTGATGACCACCAAGCGGCGTAATGTTTTTACAATGTCAAGTTCTTTTCCGAATAATGGAGCATTTATTTTTACACGTTTTTATATTTAAGAAGGCTCGCAATCATACATAACTTTTGTAGGACATACACAATGAGGATTATATAATATTACAATTACTGTCCTAATCATATTACACGTTTTGTCACATTATTGTCGTTTAAATGAATTAATTTCAAATTGTATCTAGTATAAACATTGAGAATGACCCAATTGGGGTCGAAACGTTTGTTGTAATAAACTTTTATTTTTTTAATTAACACAGCATTAAGAACTAGCTTGGCTAGTAGCCTTATATATTTATTAAAAAATTTTTATTACTTCAACTTGTATGCTATATATTTATTTTTAAAATTTTATTACTTCAACTTGTATGCTAAGAAGAAACTTTATTACAATTTTTCTTAAACAAACATATCTATCCGCCCTTCAATTTATTAAAAATATAATTCAATATAACAGCTAGATTGAGAAAGAAATATTTATTAAAATTTGTAAAATACAATAAAAAGCCAAAGAAATCATCTATACAATGATCTGATAATCAATGTGGAGTATAGAATAAGAAACATATGGCACGACTTTTTGCACGAATTTAGACAGAGCTTAGGACCATGTTATATTTTAGGGTATAAGACTTTTAGAACAGAAGAAATCTATTAGTTATTTTTAGATTTGCAGCTGCTGAGCTCTCTATCTCCGATTCTTTAAAAGAATCTTCCAACATCTTACGAACAGCATCATTTTCATTAAATTTTTGCACGCTATTACCGAAGTTATTATATACATTCTAGTGTGAAGAACATACTTAAAATCTTCTCTTCTGTGTGCGCAAATGATCCTTTCTTGTTTCTGCTTTCGCTTAATTTGTACTTTTTGTTACGCCGTTTACGCTTAATTAGTCAACCTTTAACGAAGTCAGAAGTGCGGCGTAAGTCTAAATCTAATATAAAGTACATGCGGAAAAGAGGCGTCGGGAAGAGTGTGAAAGGACGAATTTTACCGTGCTCGGCGAAAGAGCTTATCGCTAATAATCCGTGGTTCGATCGGGACCGCGAGAGTCTTTCCTGATATCCCCAACAATCCTGGAGCCCTTGAACCAAGTCTTATCTTACGGTAACATGTATTTGCCTTTTGGACAACGCCGTGTATTTGCATATGCGCGAGCACACTCCATACACGCTCATGAATAATATGCACGGCGTGTTCCTAATCAAACACTCGTATTTCACTGCGAAGGATTCTTCGCTTTTTTTCTTATCCAAATGGCCCTTAAATTGTACTTTAAATACACTTGACTACCAAAAGAGCTTTGGTCGCATATCAGATTACCTGCTTTATCTCACTTACAGAATTGACGATACAATTTCGATTAAGACTTCTGATACATGTTCTGTCAATCATTTTTCTGTCAATGTATAAATTAGCTTTAATCTTGGCATATATAATCCAAAAAACACACCAAGTTAAGAGAAAATCAAAATGATTTTTTTTTTACATTATACAACAAAAGTCAAAATGATGATTCTTTTGTTACAAAATTGAACTGTTTATTAACTTTAAGAATCAAAATAAAGTCATTTCGATTTTTGTGTGTTCCTTGAGAACTTGCTTTTATCCTTTTTTCTAATTGCCAATCAGAATTAAAAAAAGATAAATAATAAGATAAATAGTAAGATAAAAGAAATTAAAGTTAATCATCGATAGAAATTATTGGTAGAAATGAGCATCGATTTCTGTATATATTACATCGACTATCTTCTGTATATATTATATCGACTATCTTGCATACTTCACAAATTTTCCCTAACAATTGACGCAATAAGACGTAACGCATCTCGAGTCTCGTTACGTTGCGTAACGTTGCGTCTCGTATACTTCAGCTACCATAAATTAGTTTGACGACGCTTGTACAGAAAATATTTATGAAACTCGGCGGGTTGACCCGCTCTTCTCTGACGCCATGGTTCTCCCTCTCCTTCTCTCTCATTTCCCTTCGTTGTCTATCTCCATTTTCCTTGCGCTCTGCGCAAGGTAATGCAATATTCACTCGCGTCTCTTTCAAAGGAAGATAACAAAAGGTCGCGTAGCGTTCGCGTTCACGCACCACCATCCGGAGTTTATAGAAGCTCGGAAGCAGAAGACCTGCAAGGAAACGGAGTGGGAGATAGAAAGATACGTCTCTGGGTCCAGCCGGAACCAGCAGTCCGCTGTTGCCGTCACGTGTCATTTTCGCGCCCGATCAGATTAGCTGCCACCTACGCACTACCTCCTTGCTGTAAATTTTTTAACGACGACCAAGTTGATAGCGCTTGCCTTTTTATAATAGAGTGAAATTACGTCGTCGCTTTCTTTTACTACTTGCTGTCTTCAGCTCGTCCTCGAGTTGCTCGATCGCTGCATAATAACGTAATCAAAGAGAACCTCTAGAAAAATAGTAGAATAACAGGATAAAATGCAATGAAGGGTCGAATCAACTCGCGCGGTTATTGTTGCAACTTAATTTAACGTGTATATCTTCGTGAGTATAAATTTCGCGAGTGCAACATTTCTAATGCCTTCAAAATCTGATAGTGAATTCAATTGAACGCATTAGTGCGCACTAGTGCATATTAATGCCATTATACGCTGATTTAATCTAAGTGTAAAAGTGAAATGCAATATTTTGAATTATAAAATACATATTTTACTTAACAGTACAATAAAATTTCCAGTACTGGATTTCACGGTTTTTAATCCATTTCTCTATTATATTTATATTAAACACGTCTTTTACAGCAATTTGTGTACGATGGCTTTAATATGCACCAGTACGTACTGAGTAAACCCAATCGAATTTGATATTAGCTCGCAAGATTTCACGACGGCGAGTGTGTTCCCCGGAAATGGAAGAGCGATCTGGCAGGTGTAATCGCGCGCGCGTTGTAGGTCATCGAGTTGGCAGAGGATTTACCGTAGCGTCGTTGGTCTCCTCCGCTCGTGCTAGCGCTAAAACCACAAGCATCCGATACTCGATCGAGCTCTTGCGAAAGGTAACAGGGGAGGGAGGCAGAGGACAGAGAGGAAGTGAGGCTCTCCTCGGGGAAAGGTTGCGTGCGAGGACGTGGCCGGGCAAAAATTGCCCGAGCCAACGTTGGGAACTGCAGCGCACGGCCGTCGAATTTTTTCAGGATTAATGCTTTGGTCTTAATTACCATGTTCGCAGCTACGTCGTACCTTCCAATACGTCCGTCTGTATTTTTGCCATTATTCGTCATAGCCGAAAGATCTGGCACGTCACGGACGTGAGCGCTAGAAAAAGAATGGGTAAAAAGCGCGATTGTCGATGGACGCAGGTCGCTTCTATTTCGCGGCTATTCTTTCTTGTTAAACTGTATTGCTAATAGCGACGGAACGAGAGAATCGAGGAATAACTGTAGCCATAAGTGAAAAAAATATTTTTCTTTTTCTTGTACTTTAGAGGAAGTGTCATGCTAGATTCGCGAAATTAGCTCGCTATATTTTCAGTTTCGATTTTTTAATATGAACAGTGCTACTCGAACTGTCATTATTTCTTTCATATTAATAGAATGTCTAACTTCATAGTCCATCCAAAAATGGAATCTGTGTAGTTAGCACAACATTCTATTAAAATAAAAAAAAATAATAACTGTTCTGGTAGCACTTTTCATAGTTCTACAGTTTCTTATAAAAGTAAAAAAGAGTTCCGCATTTTTACACTGAAAAATCAAAATTGAAAAAATAACAGACAAACTCTGTTTAAAAATAACTGTAGAATACAGAATTCTCCTAAAAAGTCTATTAAAATTGATTCAATAATTATTGAAATTTTGTTTTTAAATTACATATATTGGTACATATATTTAAAGCCCATTTTATTTTAATACCGTAGTATAATTATAAGTGGCTGTATTAATAAAAATTGACCAATATATATCACAACCGAATATTTTCTTCATAGTCGGCTGTAAGTGGTCAATTCTTACAACTACTTACAACTCGCTTATGCTATTGTAGAATGGCTTTTATGTCTCAATCCGGTACTGCCGGATGTGGTCCGAGGAAGGGCACGTCTCTCCCTTCCGCCCACCGCCACCCTTTTCCTTTTCCATCTCCGTCTAGTCTCTTTGCCTAAATCCTTCGGCCAGATCCGCGTGTATCGGGTGGGTGGGGTGGGGCCGAGAACGAAGGGCTTTGATAAATGACTGACGCGGAAAAAAAATCCGCGTCGATACGTCTTGCTCAAGGAGATGCGCGCGCGAGTGAAAAAGAGAGGGATTGAGGGAGTGAAAGAGAGACGACGACGACGAGGGAAGAGAAAAGGGAGAGAAAA